GGAGTTTCTGTTCGCATGAACTTGTTAGCCATAATACGTTATTCCACGGTGTTTTTCTCAGATCTCTACAAAAAAAATTGAAAAATCAGTTGTAGCTTGAATCTATATATCGAATAAAACAATGATTTTTCCCCTTTTGCTTGACCTTAACTCTCATCTTTTGTTTTACGAAAACGCCAGCAGCGACCTTTGAGTAAAGATGTCCATATGAACAAATTTGACCCACATTCGGCCAAAAGATCAATGAGTCAGTTTGTGTACCTCCCACACAGACGACGAACGTTCGAGTGCACTAGAGCGTAACACCAAGGTACCGGACTCGTCGATTTTTATGAAATAGGGGTTTGTCGTATAAAAACTGGTGATAGTGTGAATGTCAACACCGCTGTGCGTGCGTGACTTGTCAACACTCTCCTTCTCTTTCTCTCTGTTTCTCTCTCCCCTCTTCTTCTCCCAAAAAAGGAAAACAAATCAGGAAAATATATATGTATGTCTAGTAGATACAGATGCACATCACAATGCATATTAGTCCTTTAGGGAATTTAATCACCTAAATAAAAGAAATAGAAATAGATTTCTTTCCTACCTTGTCTCGTAGAAACACCTGTTGAGTACAGATACTTGGAACATATATTATATCACAAGTAGTAGTTCAAATATTGCACAGCACCCGTAGAAAGAATATGTAAGACCATGTACAAAGTAATGACGCTTCTTCGCGAATTAAGTAAAGAAGAAGAAACTTATAATCTCTATAAAGTAATAAGGCCTCAGAACCAAGTAGAGAAACAAGCGAAGAAATAGGACAAGAATTAAGATGAAGCTCAATTAGCTTTGCTGTTGATCGATCGACTCTCTAGAATAGGTGTGCTCTATATGAACAGCTCAGGAGAAGTGATAAAAATAGGTGTGGCAAATAAAGCAAGCAAGTGTAATGTCCCTGTACAGTATAAGCTATACCAGTACATTAGGTGGTTGCACATCCCAACCCATAGGGTATGGAATGTGCTTGCCAGAGTAAGTATTTGTGGCACTCTAGTAATGCAACAGGTGTCACTAAAGAAATGAGTGACAATGGAATAAAAGGCTAGACTTCAAGCCACACAATAAAGACAAGACAATAATATTTACAAATGCAAAGTTCTCCAAAGGACAAGTCACTACAGTAGCTCCCCTCTAGATTTGTTGTCGAATGAAAAGTAGCAACAAATCGATGAGGAAATATAGACCTACATGCATGTTGACTTGAAAATACGAAAATATGGTAATACTGTTGAAACACAGTAAGTTGAATATGCTTCACCCGACTTCGAAAAAATCCACGAACCTCACTGGCCATCTAACTTGACGACCAGACCTGGTCTTTCGAATCTCAGGAGTGTTCTGCTTCAGTGCAGGATCCAATGCTAACGGTGCAGGATCCAGTGCTAACGGTGCAGGATCCAGTGCTAACGGAGCAGGATCCAGTGCTAACGGAGCAGGATCCAGTGCTAACGGAGCAGGATCTAGTGCTAAGTCTGCGGAGTTGGATTGCCGAGGGACTTGGATAGGTGGATCTTGACCCTTCTTAGATTGAGCAGGAAGATCTTGCTCCATGAAAGCTGGTTTAAGTCTCTCAACACTGACAGTTTCACGTTTACCATTGTAATCGATAGTAAAAAACTTGTCAGAGCGTTGAAGGACTCGAAAAGGCCCCCTGTAAGGAGGTTGAAGGGGCCCCTTGACTGCATCAACCCTCAAAAAGACGTGGGATGAGGAATGCAACTCCGGGTGTACCTGTGTAGGGGTAGCTCGTTGTTTGCGAGTAGGGGTGGGATGTAATTCACGCATCAGTCTCTTCAGTCTGTGGGCGTAATTAGCTGGATCGCCAGCAGAGTCAGTCTGTGAAGGAGACACAAATTGGGCCGGTAGCATGACCGTAGTACCAAAAACGAGTTCTGCTGCGGAACATCCCAGATCAGACTTGATAGCTGTACGTATACCCAGCAATACCAAGGGAAGGACCTCAGTCCAACGGACTGTGTTATGCGCCTTGAGAGAGGCTTTGAGTTGCCTGTGAAAACGCTCAACAAGCCCATTGGCTGCTGGATGGTATGCTGTTGTGCGAATGCGTTTAGTGCCAAGAAGATTAGTGAGAGCAAGGAAGAGTGCTGACTCAAATTGTCTACCCCTGTCTGTAGTAAGAGTAGTTGGAGCACCAAACACCGCTACCCATCTGGCCACAAAAGTACGTGCTACAGTATCCGCAGTGATATCTGGGATAGGTATAGCTTCTGGCCATCTGGTGTAACGATCCACACAAGTAAGAAGGTACGTGTTACCCTTTGAAGTAGGAAGTGGGCCTACAAGATCGATGTGCACATGAGAGAAACGCGCATCAGGTGAGGTAAAAGTGCCAAGTGGAACTTTTGTGTGTTTATGCACCTTGCATCTCTGGCATTCAAGACATGTTCTGGCCCATTTCCTGATATCATGATTAATACCAGGCCAAACGAAACGTTCCGTGATGAGCTTTTGAGTGGCCCTGATCCCAGGATGGGATAGTCCGTGGAGGGCGTCAAAAATAGCTCGTCTGTGTTTGACTGGAACAAGGGGTCTAGCAACACCTGTCGAAACATCACATAGCAAGGTAGTAAGAGAACCAGGAAGCGATATAGACTTGAGCTGAAGCGAGGAGTCCTGTACCTCACTATCATCCTCTTGATCTTTCGCAATGGCTGCAAAATCTATGACCGAGGATGAATCAACTCTGTCGATACACAGACGGGAGAGAGCGTCTCCTGCTGTGTTCTCCCTTCCTGCTATGTGGTGTATCTCAGATGTGTATTGGGATATGAAATCAAGCTGGCGGATTTCACGAGGTGAGTGTCGGTCAGGCTTTGAATTCAAAGCATGGGTGAGAGGTTTGTGATCCGTGTAGATGGTAAATGTGCGACCTTCAAGTAGATGTCGAAAATGCTTTACAACGAGGTAGGCTGCTAACAGTTCCCGACCGAAAGTGCTGTACTTAGTCTCGGCAGGCTGTAGTCTCTTAGAAAAGAAAGCCAACGGTTGCCAAATACCATCTACCAGCTGTTGGATAGTTCCCCCAACTCCCACATCAGATGCATCAACCAACAGGCATAGAGGAACATCAATTCTAGGATGAACTAAAACTGCAGCGTTAGCTAACTGATCTTTAGCCTGATTGAAAGCAGAAAGTTCTTGTTCACCTAGGGTGATTGGTTGGTTCTTCTTCAATCTATTTTTCAACAGATCCGTGAGAGGCTGGAGTACTTCTGCACACCGCGGAATGAACCGTCTGTAGAAATTGATCAGCCCGAGGAACTCTCGTAGCTTGGTAAGTGATGTAGGTATCGGAAAATCACGGATGATCTTCACCTTGTCACTAAGTGGCTGTATTCCTTCCGAGTCAACTTTATGCCCTAGAAAGGACAGTAAAGGTACTCCGAACTGACACTTAGCGGGGTTGAGAATGATTCCATACTCTTGCAGGCGGTCAAAGAGTAAACGGAGATGTGTCTCGTGTTCGTCTTTGGTAGTACTAGCTACAAGAATATCGTCTAGATAAACATAGACGAAAGGAAGACCGCGAGTGACATCATCCATCAATCTTTGGAATGTCTGAGCTGCATTGCGAAGGCCAAACGGCATCCTAACAAACTCGAATAATCCAAAAGGGGTGGTTATAGCTGTCTTGTGGATATCGCTAGGCTCGACTGGGATCTGATGATATGCCCTGATGAGATCAATCTTGGAAAAGATTGTCTTGCCACTAAGTGACGCAGAGAAATCTTGCAAATGAGGAATAGGGTATCTATCAGGAATAGTACGAGCATTAAGCATGCGATAATCTCCACAAGGTCGCCAGTCCCCTGGTGTCTTCTTCGGAACCATGTGCAAGGGACTTGACCAGTTGCTATCAGATTGTGTAAGCCTCATTGTCCGCTGTGTAAAAACTTCGCTTACGCACATATAATAGAGGTCGATGTGTAGGTTTGTAAAAGCTATTTTTTATTGGATTCAAATTGGCCCTACTTTCTCGACAGCCAATCAAATTATGTGTTACATCAGACGGTAGGGGATTACATATCCTCTGTTTTTGCGCCCGAGATGGCCCAATAACAAGTCGCAGTTACGAGCATTATCTCGTTGAAGTAGGCCTACACAACCCCAGTGAAAAAGCCGAATTTTCCTGTGACCTCCATAGAGAAATCACAAATTGAATCATTGTTGTCCATTATTGAAGACGAAAAGGCCCTATTTTCCAGTCTACTAATCAGTTCGAAATTGGTATCAGTGGAAAGAACAGTATTTGAATATGTGATTTCCACCCGAGATGGTGTGAATTCAAAGTTTGTTTTCCTTGTAGGAGCATTTCTTTGCATACTTAGCGCATTTTCAAAGACGATTTCACGTGTTGTAGACCGCGGAGCGAGACCGCGTGAGCAGATGCCCGAAATTTATTCTTTTTTGGTTATTCTTCTTTTGTTTAAATCATTTAATAAGATTTTCAACATATCTAAATAGAATTTGTTTAATTTCGTTAAGAATTGACCTTCAAACGTTTGGGTTCATTTGCATGGCTGTAATTGGCGAATACAAATTATTGAAGGGTCAACTTCATTTGACAATGATCGGATAATGGAGGGAAAAACTATCCAAATTCAATAAATACAGCATAGTTACTAGTGAGGCACTACATACACAGTAATCATCGATTGAGACACCTCTTGTATTATAGAGAGTTGTTGTTTCCATTGTCTAACCGAATAATCTTCAGAGTTGAGCAGTTATGCGGATAGATCCAGATTTTGTTTTCCGTAATTAGTAGTGACTTGCTGTATCGACAAGTTTCGACGTTGAGGTGGTTGTCTCTGAAATGTAAGCACTATGTAGAGAGTGTACTAATGATCAAATGAACCAAGTCTGATGTAGTCAAATTTATCTTGATTAATATCATAGATATATATACTACTAACACTAGAGGGCGTACTCGCTCAAATTGCTGTTCCGAGCCGGAGCGTTGGCCGCCATTACTAAGGAGGGCAGAAAAACGAACGACCCAACAAGATACTGTGCACAACATACGTGAACAATTTGAAGAAGCCAGTTTCGCGCGTTGCATTTGGTTGTTCGAACCGAAGAAAGAAAGGGAACTGCATAATATTTGACAAGTAAGTTCTTCTTAATGTTATGTTGATTAAATAAGGAGATTTTAGAGCTAAAAATTTAGTTTATGCGGGTATTGTCTCATGACAAGCCACTGCAGTGCAGCGCAGCTAACGTTCCTGCAGTGCTCAGCTCAGCGGAGCGCGCCAGTCCACGCCCGCCGGGCTGGCGCAGGGATGGGTCAAGGTTCTGGGGACGGTGATGGGAAAATTCTGCTGCGCTGGAGTAGCAACTCCAAGAGTCAGAGAGTCCAACTCGGAGCTTGATTCTATTAACGAAAAGTTTAGAATATATAATTAACTTTATCTTATCTAATTTCAAGATAAAAATCAAATGTCAACTTCTTTATATTTTAACTATAGATCTAGATCTAGACTCTAGATCTAGATCTAAATACTCTAATTTCTAAAGCCCGAAAGGCAAAGCTAGGCTAGCCTGCCATATTTCACACCACAGGAGTTATCCAACTAGGCTAGGCTAGCCTAAAAAGCCCACCGCACACTACACTATTTCTATCAAATTTGCTTATGACTTGCTGACATCATTATTAAATACTGCTTCGCGATTGGCTGGAAGCTGCTTTCAGTTTCAGTCTTTAAGGTAAAGACCAGTATTGGAAACGCCCCAATTTCAAAAAAATGAAATGGAAGCTCTTATTACCAATCATGTGAAAGAATATGTTTTGAATATTACATGATGATAACAATTTTGACGGGAAACCGCCTACTAGTTGATATATTTGGTAAATTAGTGTACCGTATCTCTTGCCTGTTGAGAGATACAAATGCACGTGTCGCGCACGTGTGTGTAGTCCCATATACATCTTTCTGTGTATAGTGCTTGTAACTTTACGAAGAATGGGCCAAATTTCTTATCATTTTGATGATTCCAGAACCTTGCAGTACATCTATGCTAGATGATCAACCTTTTCTGATCGATTTCACAACGTTGCTTTCACAATGCAATCGCATGACCATAACTGGTCTTTAGCTTTAAAAATCATATGAAATAGCATGAATAGTAGAACAATTGTCATGTTATGAGAAAAAAACTCATTATTGTTTCCATTTGCTTTTATTGTAATGCAGAAATACACCCAAGGGAGGAAAAGGATGTTACACACCACCCCGTCCTAGTGCTGTGCCTACTGTCTTCCCTGGACATCCTTCCTGTAAACAGACCCATGGCTCAAGACTCCCAGCAAAACCATGTACAACATCCAAAAGTGTTCCCGTGCCTCCAAAGAAACCCTATGACATTACAAAAGAACATGACTATTCTTTTCTGTCTGAGTTGATCAGAAACTGAAGATAACCAGACAGCAACTGCAGGATGCCAATAAACAGCTTCAAGTGGTGAAACAGAAGGTAAACAGGAGAGATGGAAAAACCAGGACTCTCTTGCAGGACGTCCACGAAATTACACAAATTATTTGCACTCTACATGTGCTTTGATTCTGCAGGTTTAGATAACCTGAGATAAACATGTAGACCTTTTTTATAACATTGTCTGGATTGCTCTCAACCAAGTCATTTGCATCATTAACGATGAAAAGCAAGAAATTCACATCAAGTGAGCCACGTTTTCGATACGGTGAACGAGGAGAATTCACAGATGTGTGGCAATTGAAAAGCTTTGTGTAATGCACAGTTGCACACCTTATACACACCCATAGATCTTTTTTGTACATAGGTTTGACTTTTGGCCCAAAATGGAAAACTGCTTTTGAAGAGATTTGATAACAGAACAATTATATGGAATAATGTCACTAGATGTAAACACATAAGATTGTGCACTATTTTGCTATCTAGTATATCTACTGTGTAAATTTGAGGGTAATCAGTTTCAAAACTATTATTTTTCCCTGATGAATAATGATGTCAAACTCAAAAGACCTTGTTACTATGAGGTTTCACTGAATGGTGTATTGCAGTATCCTGAGATGTAAGTGACTTCAATTATAGTTCTTCATAGCAATACAGGTAACTTGGAATATATATGTTCAATTACTATTTCTGGTTTGCATTTATTTTTTTTATTATTCGATGAAATGTCTTTGTAATAAGTAAATTTGGGGCTAAAATCTGAGATGTTGTTTTTGCAATGTCTATCCTTTCAATTGTGATGTATTATAGCAGTATATATGTCCAATAAAGTGTCAAAACTTAAATGTCTATGCTGTAGAATATTCAACACACGTGTGGTAATAAAAGGTTCATTTATTCATTTTTTTTTTCAAATCAAATTATCATAAGTATATTCTCTAAAAACTGGTTGATGAAGAAAATAAAAAAATATACTGTATCAAGGAGAATATTATTTATGGAGAAAAAAAGTGGTATGAATAAATAATTATTACATCAATGATCAGCTGTTTTTAAAGAATATTAATTTCTAGTGAACTGTAAAGAATTGAATTATTCTTTCAGACATATAGAGATTTTCTAGAGAATAGGTGAAGGACAGAAGGTGTGAATTTGATATAAAATGAGTGAGAGAAGAAGAAAAATAATGTATGGATGAATAATTGAATGAATGATTGGCTCTCTTAATAACTGAATTAGAAAGACATTGGCCCTATAGCATACAACTTTGTTTAATATCATGACATAGATATCAAATACAAGTCCCAAATGCTTGATTCTGATTGTTTGAAAGCCAAGTAATATTTAATGTCATTATATCACAGTTTTATATTGACAAAGAGGAAGAAAAATTGAAGATATACTGAAATATAAATAGCTTTTTGTGTCCCTTTTACCTCACCATAACACCCGTAATTAATCTTGACCTGCACCAGATACCATGACTGAGGCATGTGTAGGGTTCATGCATTATGCAAAATACCACAATTATAACGTTTCATACTCGAAAACTGAAAAATCAACCACAAATATGAAGCTTCATATTGCATATCAGTAGCAAAGTTTCGAAGGAACATCCGGGTATTTCTCGAAGTTTTGCCCTCCTTAGTAATGGCGGACCGAGCTCCATGCGCGCACAGAGCTTTGAACGGGCGCGTATGACGAGTCCGCTCTCTAGCCTTATTAAGTATATATCTCTATGATTAATATGGACATTGAGGTATCCCATAATAATAACTGTTCCTTTTTCGTTCCAAATTTATTTCTTTTATTTCGAGGTTTCCCAATATCTCTATATTTATTCCAGTTCTCAATGTGTGTGATGAATTAACAGTTTTAAATGTATATATTAGGCATTTCTGAAGCCGAAAATGTATGACTGACCTTTAGCCACATAATATTCACTGCAGCAGGGGCGTAAATCCCGGGGGAGATGGCCTGTACAATCATCCCCCCCCCCCGCTGATATTACAACAAAAAAAAAAGAGAAATAAAAGGAAGAAGAAGAAGAAGGAAAAAATGTGATTGTTTCAATTTCAGCATAATGCATTAGAAATGAGTTCTTTTTTTATGTATGTATAACTGTATAGCCTACACGTATACAGTATGTCACTATCATTAAGAATAGTTGCGCGACGTGCGCAAACAAGCACTTCATAAACTTCAGAATAATAAGAATCCCACTATATACATAAAATGCATTAGGCCGTGCCCCGGCCGGCCACGCAGTCTTCTGCATATTGCACCGCATACATGCTCCGCTCTCTCGCGCTAGCAAAGCAGAACATTTTTCCCGCCAGCGCGATCTAGGGGAGACAGGGGGACAATAGGTAACCGTGACGCAGGGGCGTAAATCCCGGGGGGGGGGGATGGGGGTCGGGGATGCACCCCCCCCCCCCGCCCCTGGCTCGAAGGAGGGCGGAATGGCCTGTACAAATATCCCCCCTGAGATTACAACAAAAAAGAGAAAAAAAAGGAAGAAGAAGAAGGAAAAAAAAAAGAGGGATTGTTTCAATTTCAGCTTAATGCATGCGAAATGTGTTATTTTTTTTGTATGTATGTATAACTGTAAAGCCTACACGTATACAATATGTCACGATCATTAAGAGTAGTTGCGCGACGTGCGCGAACAAGCACTTCATAAACTTCAGAATAGTTTTTCGTTATTTTGAAAGGTATTATTATTATAGCCCAGACGTAAAGTGCGCCAGCACGCGAGCGCTTAAAAAGTGCAATCATGTACAGTAGATGCCCGACACCCGCCCACCCCCTCCCCATTAGGTGTTATTTAGGGTACGCGTATGCTCGTTCCCTCCCTGTGAGAGCACCCCCCCCCCCCCCACCCTATCTCAGGACTGCCAACATTTCTGAATCCCCTTTCGCCGGCTTTTCCCTGGCTTTTCCTGCCTTGGAGACCCACCCCTCCCCCCCCGAATCCGGGACAGTGCTAAATGTACCACACCCCCCCCCCCAAAAAAAAAAAAAAAAATAAAAAAAAAAAAAAAAAATAAATAAATAAATAAATAAATAAATAAATAAATAAATAAATTTAAAAAAAAAAAAAAAAAAAAAAAAAAAAAAAAAATAAATAAATAAAACCAAAAAAAAATCAGGTGAGCTCTAGTCGATCGAGGGCGACTGGGGGCCAATGTTTTTACTTTTTGTAGTAGAATGGTTTTTATTAGACAACTTCAAAATGGTAGCCCGAAAGCTAAATTACATTGCAAGTTTTACATGTATTAAAAAGCATTTCATTTTAAAATGAAATTATCCTGAATGAGCTTTCAAAGCTAGCAGGAATTTCAGGAATTTGATCCCGGGATTTGATCAATTTTTCTATGAAATTCAACATATTTTATGACCACCTTTTTACATTTCTCAGGATTCCAAAGAGAGAGAGAAATAACCCACCCCCTTTTTAAAGAAACTAAGAGTCTCGTTTTTCGGTGACCCGGGTTCAAAATCAAGTCGATGCGCTAGTGCTAGTTTCTCCCCAAATATAGGAACATCCAGTTTACATTGTCTTGTTCCGTTCAGTCTTTCAACAAGTCAATTTATATTCCATGAGCTTATGGATATTTGCTTAGATAATTTGGGTCGGGTAGGGTATGGTGCCAGGATTTCCATTGTCTATTCAAATAATGTTGGAAACATGTACTTGCCCTCCCCCCCCCCCCTACACCACTAATTAACAACACTGTATAGCTTACTCCAGACAGTAATTACTACATTATTAAAACAAAATAATTAAATGAAGAAAAGAACAAGGATGATAAAGTAAACAGTACGTATAGCTATGTAATGAAGAAACAAATGGTGATTATTTGGGGCAGAATTTAGATCAATCTCTTTTTTGAAAACCAATAACTCCAGCTGAAGTCAGAAGTCAAGTTTTGATAATTAATACCAAAAGGCTTGAAGTCACGATAACATTCCAGTGCATTTTTTTTTTTAAAGATAGTGCTCCCTATACTTCATATTTACTGGCCAATATTATTATTATTATTACTTATACCGCGCTTTTCCCATAAGGCCCAAAGCGCTTACAGTGAATGAAAATAAAAATTACATAAATACAAAAACTACAAATTGCAAAAAAGGCCTTTCTGAAGGTAAGAACTGATGGAGACTGCCTGATTCTAAGTGGTAAATCATTCCAACATTGTGAAGCAGATACAGTAAATGTTCTATCACCGGCTAATGTGCGGGTAACTGAATATGTGAGACGGAGAGGATCACTGGCTGACCTCAATGCCCTGGCAGGTGTATAAAAATCAAACAGGTATGTAAATTTTGTGCAGCTTGATTATTGAATATTTTGAATACAAACAAGAGTAATTTAAAAATTATTCTTTGTTTCAATGAAAGCCAGTGTAATGATCTCAAGAGTGGCTGAGATGGATGGTCCCTAAAAACCTGAAATATCAATCGGGCTGCCAAATTTTGTAACCGTTGCACACGAATCAATTTAGTTGAGGGAATGGTAGAGAGAAGCCCATTACAATAATAAATACGGGATAGAACTAAAGAACGCACAGCGTTATGACAGGCAGACTGGTCAATAAACCTTCTGATTCTAGCAATATTCCTTAAATAAAACGTAGCCATACTACAGATGTGGGAAATATGGTGAGACATCGACATGCAAGAATCAAATACAACGCCAAGGTTTCTTATTGTTTTTGAAGGGCTAATGAGTGTGCCACCAACATCCAACTGAACATTTGGAAGACTGCGCAGATTGTGACCTGAAGCAGCAACAAAAAATTCAGTCTTTGAATCATTTAATTTTAACTTATTTACTACCCTCCATTGGCTTATATCTGAAATACAAATTTGAAGTTTGATAAGTGCGCTATCAAGAGCTCCTGGAGTCTTAGGATTAAAGGAAACATATAACTGTATGTCATCAGCATAGAGATGATAATTAATACTATGATGTCGGACGATATCTCCAATAGGACGAGTATAAATTGAGTATCCTATGGGTCCTACTATTGAACCCTGGGGGAGTCCAAATTCTATGGTTGTGAGGTTTGAAAATTTGCCGGCTATGTCAACTTGGGAAGACCATCCAGAGAGGTATGACTGAAACCAGGACAAAACTGTTGACCTAACACCTGTTCTTTTGAATAAACGGGATATAAATATTTGATGATCGATCGTATCGAATGCGGCTGATAGATCTAACAGTGCCATTAGAACTACCTGGTTTGAATCAAGAGCAAACATTATGTCGTTTTTTACTTTAATTAGAGCTGACTCGGTACTGTGACATGACCTATAAGCAGATTGAAAAGAATCAGAAAGATAGTTAGATTCAATGTGATGAACTAATTGTGTACATGCTGCTTTCTCGATGAGTTTACCTAAATAATTATGTTAAGTTTGACACTGGTCTATAATTTCTAAGGTCATTTTGGTTCAA